ATTTGCTGTACGTGTGTAATGACTTGGTGATTAATCAGGACTCAGAATGCATCGGATTTATTTGTTTTTATGTTCATATTAATATAATTTTGCAACTTTGGATTTTTGCAAGTGCCAATTGGGATTAGTTACTTTCCTGAAAGGTTTAAAAATATAATTAGGTCAATCAAGCTAGAACCGTGGCCTTATCCAGTCTGTGTCAGAGAGCAGAACCCCCTGGACTGTTAATGGAAGATTATTTGTACTGTGCTGGTTTATGACAGGGAGTATAGGTTTGAAAGCTTACTTTTGGGGATAATCAAGGATTGGTTTTTAGCTTGGAAAACACTTTGGGCAGTTTACAGGAGACGTGACTGGAGTTAGAAGCAAATAAAGATCCTATCCTCAAAAATAATAGAATGTTTGAGGGAAAGCAGAGTTACGTCAGAGGAAAAGTTTAGTTTCTGTAGCTGCTAGACCAGGAGTGTTTGATTAGAGGTCTTCAGGATATTGAGAAGCTGAGAAAGTATTTAGTTTTGTTAGTATTCATGTAGGAAGACTTCATAGTTCACTGGTAAGAACTGGGAAGTATCAGCTATGTTGACCTTAAAGATCTAATACCAAAGGATAATTTTTCAGTATTTGAATACTGGTAAAGTGGTTGGGGTCATTTAGCACCATGTCCGGGTGCAGAGTGATGCCAACCAGTTAAGGTTATCATGAGGGACTCTCCTCAACCTGTTCCCTTGCCTGAGGTGTGATCACCACCATCACACTTTTTCTTTAATGAGTGAACAGCCCTGTAGTCTGATAAGGCAATGGGGACTTTTAAAGTGGTAGTGTTAGGGAATAGGTTGATACTGCTTAAATTCGTGCATGTAGGATAGGATGAGGGAGACTTCACTCTTTCCCCTAAGTTTTTCTAGCCTCTCCTTATAGCTCGTACCATCTAATCGAGGCAGCATCTTTTGCACCCGCTCCAAAACCTCCACGTCCTTCCTGTAATGTGGCGACCAGAATTGAATGTAATACTTTAAGCGTGGCCTAACCAAAGTCTTATAAAGCTGCCACATGACATCCTGACCCTTGTACTCAGTACCCAATCAATAAAGGCAAGCAAGCCATATGTCGCCTTCACCGCCCTATCTACTTGCATGGCCTCTTTCAGGGAGCTATGGACTTGAACCCCAAGATCCCTCTACCTCAGGACTGTTCAGGGTCCTGCCATTAACTGTATACTTTTCCTTAACATTTGATCTCCGAAAGTGCAGTACCTTGTACTTAACCAGATTAAACTCCATCTGCCACTTCTCCACCCTAGTATCTGCATCTGATCTATATTGCGCTGTGTCCTTTGACAATCTCCTGCACTATTCACAACTCCACTGATCTTTGCATCGTCTGCAAACTTACTAACCCACCCATCTACATTTTCATCCAAGTCATTTATATAAATCACAAACAGCGGATGACCCAGTACGGATCCCTTCCGATCACCACTAGTCACGGACCTCCGGCCAGAAAAACACCCTTCCACCTCTACCCTCTGCCATTTATGGGCAAGCCAATTCTGAATCCAGGTGGCCAAGTCACTGCAGATCCCATGGATCTTAATCTTCTGGATGAGCCTACCATAAGGGACTTTGTCAAAAGCCTTCCTCAAATCCTTGTAGACAACATCCACTGCTCTACCCTCATTGATCACCTTTGTCATCTCCTTGAAAAATTCAATCAAGTTAGTTTGTTTTAGAAATACTGAGGGGCCTAGATAGAGTGGAAGTGAAGATGATGTTTCCACTCCTTGAAGAGATTAGAAACCAAGGGCACCACCTCAGAGTGAACAGACCACCCTTTAGAACTACGATGAGGAGGAATTTCTTCAGCCAGATGGTGGTGAATATGTGGAACTCATTGCCACAGAAGGCTGCAGAAGTAATTGAGTATATTTAAGACAGGGGTCAGTAGGTTCTTGATTATTAATTTAGATTTGCATCCCCCTTATTTTTAAATTGTGTCCCATGGTTATGCACTCCCCAACAGGGGAAACATCTTACTTGCAATCTACCCTGTCTATCCCTTTATGTATTTTATAAGTTTCAATGAGATCTCTCATTTTTCAAAATTCTAGAGAATACAGGCCCAGTGTGCACAATATCTCTTAATAGCATGGTCCCACCATTCCAGGAAACAGTCTGGTGAACCTTCATTCCACTCCCTCGACTGCAATAATATTTTTCCTAGGATAGAGACCAAAACTGTACAAAATACTCCAGATGTGGTCAAACCAAGCTCCTACATAATTGAAGCAAATGTTCACTACTCCGGGACTCAAATCATCTTGCAATCAAGGCTAACATTCCATTAACCTTCCTAATAGCTACACCTACACCTACGCAGTAGCCTTCAGTGACTTGGCTGTGTTAGAGCCATTCCCGATATTTCATTATTTTTATTTTGTTGTTTTATCAATTTTACGGTGAAAAATTTTGTTTGGCAAAAAGATCATAGAGTGGTTAGACAGAGTGAGGCATATAAGGTTATGGCTGCACAGGATGTGCACAAACCAAGATCAACATTATGAGCTAAAGATAAAATCTCTACTGTTGAAAGGAAAATGGACCAAATAAGTTTGTTTATTAGTGAGGACAGGTCAGTTCCTGATCAAAAAGTAGTGCAGATGGTTCGTCACAGAGGAAGAGCATAATGTTTAAGCAGATAGCAAAAGTTTGTTTATTAACAAAGTCAGTACCTGGGAATTGGTGCCAGCCAGTTCGAAAAGACCTCAAACAAATGGCAGATATTTAATGGTAACTGGGACCTTGTGGAGGAGATGGTCAGCCTGTCAGGGAGTGGTCCAAGTTTGAATTGGGTTTTGGACTGTTTTCTGTGAGAAGGAATCATGCTGTTGATCCTATAGCGTGAAGATTTATGAGCTCCCTGTCTAACCTACCTTATCATCTCCTGGAAGTTCAGAGAATAGAAGACTAAGTTATAAGTGTTACTGATTCAGATAGTAGGAACTGCTGATGCTGGAGAATCTGAGAGAACAAGGTGTAGAGCTGGATGAACACAGGCCGAGCAGGAAAGCTGACGTTTCGGGTCTGGACCCTTCTTCAGACCCGAAAAGTCAGCTTTCCTGCTCCTCTGATGCTGCTTGACCTCCTGTGTTCATCCAGCTCTACACCTTGTTATCTTATAAGTGTTACTGCCTTTATCTGAGAGAACTGAAAATGTGACCTTGATCAGCATCTTCAGAAAATCATCTATGCCTGTGGAACAAGGCATTAAACCATTAAGTAATCTGGCCAGTTTTATTATTTTATTTATCCCTTAAATGTGTTTGTTTGTTTGTATCAATGGAGATGAAAACCAAGGTTCTGGGGTTTAAAACGTAGACCAATGAGATCACTTATTTAATTTTGCTGTACTAAAGTTACTTTAGTGTTAAGATTGCTGAGCCTTTTGTTTAAGCTGCAGACCAGTGGTAAGAATTGATTATTTGCAGAGTCTGGGATTGCTTATTCAAAAAGTCTGCTTAGGAACCATTGGGGTCAGTTTTGAGGGTGTCCTATCTTGTTCTCCTCGGACATTATGAAGGAGTGAAAGTCACTGATTTGATTTACTGTTGTCACATGTAGCTTAGTAAAAAGTTTTGTTTTGCAAATGGTACAGGCAGATCATAGCAAACAAGGACATACAGATCATTGAGTGGTTAGACAGAGTGAGGCATACAAGCAGAGGACGGCTGCAGAGGACGTGCACAAAGCAAGATTAACATTAGATTGAAATCAGAGAGGTCCGTTCAGCAGTCTGATAACAGCTGGGAAGAAGCTGTTCATGAATCTGTTGATGCATGCGTTCAAGCTTCTGCATTTTCTGCCTAACAGAAGAGGTTGGAAGAGAGTCATGGGTGTGAGAGGAGTCTTTCCTGTTGGCTGCTTTTCCACGGCAACGAGAAGTGTAGATGAAGTCCACGGATAGGAGGTTGGCTTGTGTGATGGTCTGGGCCTTGTACACAACTTTCTGTAGTTTCTTAATGGTCCTGGGCAGACAGTTATGCACCCAGATAGAATTCTTTCTATGGTACATCTGTAAAAATTGGTGAGGGTCCTTAATGACACGCAGAATTTCCTAAGCGGCCTGAGGAAGAGCCGTTGTTGTGCCTCCTCACCATTACATCTATGTGAGAGATCTAGGACAGATTGTTGGTTATCTTCACTCCCAGGAACTTGATACTCTCGACCCTCTCCACCTCAGCTCCGTTGATGTAGATAGGGTCATGTCCTCCTCCTTTCTTCCAGAAGTGAATGATCAGTTGTTTTGTTTTGCTGACATTGAGAGACAGAGAGAGAGAGATTGTTATCATTGTACCATGACACCAAGCTCTCTACCTCCTTCCTGTATTCTGACTCGTTGTTTGATATGCAGCTTACAACGGTGGTGTTGTCAGCAAACTTGTAGATTGCGTTTGTACGGAACATGGCTATAAGTGTGCAGGGAGTACGGTAGGCGGCTGAGAATGCATCCTTGCAGACCACCACTGATGAAGTAATTGAATATGGTTAGTCTAGGACACTACCCTGAGGAATTCTGTAACAAAATCAAGGAGCTGAAATGATTGATCTCCGGCAACCACAATCATCTTCCTTTTGCTGGATATAACTCTGGACAATGGGAGTTTTCCTGGATTTCCATTTATTTCTGGTTTGCTGGGGTTCCTTGATTCCATACTGTTTAATGTCATGGGCAATCATTCTCCTTGAAACTCAGCCCTTTTGTCTGTTTTTAGACCAAAATTTTTAATGAGGTCAAGAGTATCAGTGACCAGCCTTTTGCTGAGTAAATGTTGCTTGATAGCACTGCCATTAATATCTTCCATCATTTTGCTGATGGTTGAGAGTTGACAGATGAGGTGGTAGTTGACTCAGTTTAATTTGTCTTATCAAATGTGTTAATGTCTACCTGTGTTATTAATCATCAAATCTGTTGCAATACCATTTGGTCTTTCAAGCCTGTTGGTGCTAACCTTAGTTGTACAATATCACTCTTGCCTTTGAAGTTGGATTTGAACTTTCAACCTCTGACCCAGTGACTTGAATGCACAACCACGGCTGTTTGACCAGTGTAATCCCGAGGAAGTGCTGAATTTTGGATAGGATGCTCAACTAAATTCTAGTTTGCACGCTTGGATAGATGTACAAGATCCTAAGAATTATTAAAAGCAAGCAGGACTGTGACACATTTATTCCTAGCCGTAGCCTAAAATCAGACTATTTGGTCATTATCATGATGCTATTTGTGTGACTTGACTGCATGTATATTGGTTGCCGCATTCCCCCTCTTGCCCTTCAAAGTGCTTATTTGATTTTAGTATGTATTGAAGTTGTGAAAGGCAAAATATAAATGCAAGTCCTTCTTTATTGATTCTGCACATCGTGGACAAACTTTGATCATTAGCCATAATTTACTTTGTTCGACAGGGTAGTTTGTCTTTAAGTCTGCTCCTAAATCTATGCCATGAATTTGTAATCATTTTATGATATCCTGCAGTTTTAATAATAGACACCTATAGATTGGATACCCATGTGGTGACTCTCAGAAATATTGCTGTCGACTTCTCAATTCAGGACTAGAATTTCTGAAGCTGCATTAGCCTGTCATGTTGCTGATTAAAAATATTAGATGGAGATCCTATTACCTGACATGCTTGCTGTCTTTTCAAGAACGTACCCAACAACTTTAGAGACAAGCAATTAGATAAGATTAAATTTTAAAATGAAGACAAGCTGAAAATCAATTAATTTATAGTTGATTCTCTGTGCGACATTTGAGAACATCTGCACTCAATGCTGAAGTGTAATTTCTCCTGCTACTTTCAGATGTCCATTTTCGAGATCTTAAAATTGAGATAATGTTCTATAATTGCTTGAGTTAAAACATGCAAGGTGTAGTCCTTTAACTTTTTAAATAGTTTTAAACTGCAAAATTTAGTGACGAAGTAATTAAAATTGTTTTGTTCTAACCTCATTCATCCAGGACTATACTTTTAAGTGTCATCTCCTTATTGAATGAACCAAACACATTTTCACCAGCAAATGTGGATGCCTCAGTCATGTTCAGAAAATGGAGAGATAGCAAAGGGAAAGATAAAGAATATGCTGAAATCATCAGGTAAGACACTTAGATTTTAAAAATGAATATAAAGTTGAACTTCTCTCAGCTGCTTGTCTCCTTGCTCCACTATCTGCTTGTGAATTCTTCTCCAAACCACACAAACGCCTGTTTAATGCATAATTGAATCATCTATCATCCTTGTGATCATTTATCCATAATGCAGTTTTTGGAAAGTTTTGCAGTTCAGATTTGAATATTCAACCATCCTAAAGTTGGGCATAACTAGGAATGTATTTGTATAGTATGGTTACTTTTGAGTCTGTAAGTATGATACTTGTATTGCTTGACGAAACAGACTTGAATGAAAATAAATACATGCGCAAGTATTATTCGATTATGTTCACTTAAATACAATGAATTGCCCTGTAAACTAAAAATGGGAAATACCTGCACACTTAATATTATCCCTCAGTTAGCCTTTGTTTATGTGGGCCTGCTTTTGCCAGCTTGGAAACAAAATGCTTGTTATATATTTAAGTCGAATCACTGCATTGTATTTAGCAATGTGTTAAAAGCTTCCCTGCCAAATATATTCTCTGGGAAAATTCATATTAATATCATAATGCATTGTATCTTGTACAAGTCAATTAATATTGGTGCCTGTAAAACTAGGTTATAAATAAATGTTGTAAAATCCAAAAAAAAAAGTTGCATCGATTCAGCTTTGAAGAAACTGGATCCTTTTTGCTCCTGCACCCACTCCATTTATGGGTGTAGTTGTAGAGTATTGTTCATACCACTTTTCTGATTCATACCACATAGGGAGGAACTCTACACACAACTCTCCTTCCTAGCTGACCAATAACAGCATATTAAGTAACATCAGAAATTAACCAGACAGAATTTCACTTTTGGTATAATAAGATATGTATTTTAAACATTGTACACAGGAGTGCAGTTAAAGAAGCCTTCTTTATGCACTCCTGTGTTCAGATATCTTTTTTTGGTTTGGAAAACACCCATTCAAATTGTATTCGAACACAGAAAATACCAAATGCTCCGTTCTTTGATTCTACCTGGCCATATCTCTCTCGCTGTCCCTCAACAACAGCAAGAGCAATATGATCTGTAATCTCCTACTGCCTTTAACATGGTAAAATATACTGAAGAGCTTCACAGGGGCATTATCAAACAAAATTTGACAGAGTCATGTAAGGAGCTATTATTGGGTATTTGATAGTTTTTAAGAATCTTAAAGGGGAAGTTGGTGACATAAAGTTTTGAGAGAATCTCTGACCCAAGGGCCTTGGCAGCTGATGGCATGGTTACTATCAATGATGGAGATTAAAATCAGGTGTACTGAAATAGCCAAAATTGAAGGAGCCACGGATAGGACAGCAATATAAAATTAGAGTTTAAAAATTGTGAGTGATGATGACATTGTGGTTATGTTACTCTATCAGCATTACAAATGTGTGTGCGCAGGGTCATATCCCACCATGGCAGCTATTGGAACTGAAATGATTTTTAAAAATCTGGAATTGAAAGCAAGTCTCACTAATGAGACTGTAAAGTTTCCATTGATTGTCGTAAAAGTACATCTGATTCCCAATTCTCCTTAGGGAAAGAAACCTGCCCTCATACTTTGTTTTGTCCAGGCTCATAGCAATATGGTTAGCTCTTAACTGTTCTTGAGGTCAAAAAGGGGGTAGTGAGGTGAAAGGTGGCATTGTTTAGCCACGACCCAGTCTGTCAGTGAGCACACGTGCTTTCTTTGCTTTCAGAGTTGGAGGAGTGCTGGGGCTTTTTTAAAAAAGTTTACCCTAAATCCTTAAAGTTAGTATCTTGTGAGTTTAATGATAAAAATATATTCAAATTAGATACCCCTATGATCACTCTGGTAGAAGCCTCACTGTAGCTGTATTAAATGCTGGATATAGTTGTATTAAGTGCTGGATAGATTATTTCTCTCAAGCTGCATTAGCCAGTTATGCTGCTGACATAAATATCAGTCACAGGTCTCATTGCCTGACATGTCTGCTATCATTACAAGAATGTCACATGCAAATGAGATTCTTCTACTCCACAGAGCCACATCAATGGTGGAGAGTAAATTATTGGCGTGACCAACTGAGCGCGCACAAGAATAGTCAAATCCATAGATGGTAAAGAGTGTTTTAGCAGCAAATGGGTTCTGCCAGGAACAGAGCCAGTGATGTTACGGTGGTGGAAATAGGCAGTTTTCATGATGGTGCAGATTTGTAGTCACAAACTCATCTCTGGGTCAAATACTTTACCATGGTTGCAAACAGTCCGGTTCAGCCTCGGATGGTTGCCGGGGAGAGGGATGGAATTGGTGGTTGGAGAATGCAGAAACAGTGACTTTCTTGGCCTGCATGATGGAGGAAACTTCTTGCCAGTAGGGTATATCCTGCAAGCTGTCTGGAGAGATCAAGTAAAATGGTGATCACATCGACTTTGATGTAGCCAGTACACTTTGAAACCTTGCCATATTTTAGAATGAAGTTTCTAAGAAGCAAGAGATAGTAGGAAGTGCAGATGCCGGAGAATCTGAGATAACAAGGTGTAGAGCTGGATGAACA